TCTCCTCCCCACGCCAGGAACATGCAGCACCACAGGGAACCACCAACTGTTCAAAAGATATAGTGGTTCACTCTAGAAGCTGTGCACCCTTGCAGGTTCGGAGCAGAGGGCAAAGACTTCACATGCTCCCCTGGCCAGGCCCTGATTGACCTGGGGGTTGGGGGAATGCCCAAAGTCTCCTGCGCCAGCGATGCATGGCATATAGAGGGAACCGCCAGCTATTCCAAACAGCTGGCAGCTCTCTCTAAGTTCAAAAGATATAGTGGTTCACTCTAGAAGCTGTGCACCCTTGCAGGTTCGGAGCAGAGGGCAAAGACTTCACATGCTCCCCTGGCCAGGCCCTGATTGACCTGGGGGTTGGGGGAATGCCCAAAGTCTCCTGCGCCAGCGATGCATGGCATATAGAGGGAACCGCCAGCTATTCCAAACAGCTGGCAGCTCTCTCTAAGTTCTCTCTGGGGGAGGGGGCAAAGACTTTATGCACTCCTCCACCCCCAGTCCAATCAGGGTCTCTTGGCAGGGGAACACGGGAATTCTCCAGGCCCATATCTTCCACCCGAGGCACCGCCCCTTATGGGGCAGCCTGAGGCCACTTCAGAAATTTGTGAAGTGTTCACCCCTTCAGAAATTATTGGCCACCCATGGTGAAGCAGGAGGATTCACTCTCACAGCTGAGACAAATGGGTCAGATCCCCTTTTTGGAGCTGTTGGTCCAATATTTCTGGAGATTGAGATAGTCACACGTTACATTAGTTTTATATTTTTAGTCTTTTCTTTGCATCTCTGAGGGTTAACTTTTGTTTTTAAAAAAAGTTATTTAAGCATCTGATATTATCACATGGTTCTAGGATCTGCTACTGTACATACAGGCCGATAAGGCCTATACTATAAGCTGGCTTGGATATGTGAAACATGACAGTAGTTACAACAATGAACAGTTCAGGTAATTTGCAAGTTAGGCTACCTCATAAAGTTCTGACAGTGAATATTAGACTTGATTTGCCAAATCCTTTTCACTGAGCAACACCAGACACCTCATTGTGTTAGTCATGAGAATGCTATAGATATGCAACCAAACAGTATTTTGAAAGGGTAACGTGTGTTACTTCAACAATGAGAGGTTGGAGTAATCCCTTTATTAAGATACAAAAATGGAAATGCTGTACTTGCATGATGAAAAGTGGGTCTTTGCTCTCTTATTTCACCCCAAAATGCCTTTAAGCATTATTATATTAAGGTGAGATGAAGGATCATGAGATAAAAAGTGAATGGGATAAATGGTAGTGACTGTCAGGGGCTGTAGTGAAGGGAAGAGTCCTGTTGCAGAGACAAGTCATACTCAAAATAGGGTAACGTTAATCCATTGGTGATACAAATCACTCAAGCAAATTTCTACCTTACAGATACCTGACAGTGGTGTGTGTGTGTGGGTGTGAAAGTTGTCTTTTTAATTGTGCTTTTATTTAGTCAACACTGAAGGTATGTATTTCAGGGACGTTGGTACGTATTTGAAGCAGATGTCCATCCCACTTTAGAGAGTGTTAATAAACAGTTTGAAAGAGAAAGCCAGGACCACTTAGTTGGAAAGCAGATTTCTTCATTTGACTTGAATTTGTACCATTTAGATGTTTTTGATCATTCCAAGTTAATGTAAGTGGAGTTATACTAGTATAAAATTAGCAAAGAGACAATGAGGCTCTATGAAAAGAAAGGAAAAAAGAGGGGGAATGTCACTATTTAAATATCTATACCTGGCTCCTCATTCTATTTTTTATACAAAGCATCAAAAAAACTGTTAGATCCTGATTTGACCACATTTATTCCTTATCCTCTGAGGAATCCTGCTTAAATAAATCAGATATCTGATTCTGGCTCATTCATGAGGTGTGTTGAAGAGGTTAATGTTGTTGATAGTTATAACAATCACTATTTTGAGAGAAATAATGGTCCTCTATCCAGAGATTGATACTGCAAAAAGTTGAGAACTATGACACCATTCCAATAAATCAATCTGAAATACATTCCGAACATTTAAGAGTGGCTAAATTGTTTTCGCATAGACATTCATGGAAAAACTCACATCAATTTAAATATGGTAGGATCAGATGCTAAGTGAGTAGCTCTGCTGGAAAACTACCACATGCTTAAATGTATTATACCTTTAATGTTTAGTTCAGTCAGGGTCTGAATGCTTAGGTCTGAATTAATATTCGTTAACTAACTCAAAACTCTCTCAATTAATTAATCTGATTATTATTATTATTATTTTATTAGGAAAAAGGTGCTATATTAACCTATTCTGGAGGAGATACTTCAATTTACTAATTTTAATGAAAAATAAAACACTGATTTTCTTGTTTGTATCTAGTAACAGTCTCCTGTTTTGCTTTCTTTTGATGACTCATTTTTTTTCTAAACTACATTTATTTCTTGATACTTGGGCATTCTATAATGGAATAAAACTTTGCTACTCTTTGAAATGCATTGATGGCATTCTTTAAAGGATATGACCTTAATATGCGTTTTGAGTGTGTTTCAATGTGTTTCACATTTTCTTAAGTGGTTCTCAGTTAACAATGTGCCAAAGTATTTAAAAATCATGCAAAATATTTTGCTAGGTCTACACAAGAGTTTCACTTGATGCTCAGTAATAAAAAAATTGAAAATTATACATATCTTCATTTGGCAGAAATTATACTCAGATTAGCAGTATGAAAGTAAAAGACGTTCCTTATTTCATTATGATTTTTTCTTCCATATGCCATATATATCATAATCAATCATATACAAAACTAAAATAATAAGACAGGAACTTACTGGATAGTTTGGGGAATTAGCAGCAAAATCTATAGGGAAATATATAGGAAAACAGCTGTGGCTAACAGAATTTGGTGGAGAGGAAGGCCTGATAGTGAAATTATGATAAAGGTGAGGGAAGTTACCTATTTCACTAATGTGCATTGCCTGATCATCATAGTATTGGAGGGCCTCATAATCTTTTTAATGTATGTATTTTCACAGAACCTCTGTGAGGAAGGGAAATGCTTTTTCTCATTTTTTTACAGATGGGGTATTGAGGCAAAGAGAGACTAAGCCCATGTCCATGTTACCACTTATTCCAGAAAAACTACTGTTGCTCAAGTGCATGAAAAACCACACCACCGAGTGATATAAGTTTCACCAGCATATGTTGTAGTGTGCAAGTGCTATGTCAGCAAGACAGCTTCTCTGTCTGACATAGATACAGCTGCTCATTGAGGTGGTTTTATCATGTTGACGGTAGAACTCTCCTGTTGACAGAGTGAGTATAGGAGCAATCTTACTACAGTGCAGCTAAACCACTACAGCTTTGCCATTGTAAGCTTGTTAGTGTGAACATGGCCTAAGGAACAAGCCCAAGATCTCTCAGGAATTCTGCAGTGGAATTGCACCGAAGTCTCAGGCTAATAGCCTCAGCTCTGAGTAATCCCGTGTCTCAACAGCAGTTACTTATGGATTGCCTCGATCGCCTCATTTTCAATGAACATTAAGAAGCAGCTTTTTGAATCTTGAATCAAAATGAACAGAAAATTGTATGACTGACAAAAGTTCAGATTGATTTTTACTTCATCCCAGATGGTTTGATCATTCATAGATAAAGACTTCAGTTTATGTGAATAGTTTAGTATATGGATAAGTTTTAGTTGTCTTATCTTTAGACTTCTGCACATATTTGTACATGCCTCTGATACACCACTCTGAAACACAGGAAAAAACCCTACTTCTCTTTATATAGTAAGATAATGAATAGTAACAATGCCAAATCTAAAAGTGTAAAGTAAATTATACTGAGGCTAGTTTCAAATATATAAAAAGAGACCCAAATCACATCTGAAATGTCTGTCTTCTGCATGTACAACAAAATATACTCCCTTGCCAATACTTGTCATGCACTACCATGTATATAACATGCCTATACATGTTCAGAAAAAAATGCTGAACCACATGAAAAGCCCATAAAACAAGGAAAGGAAAGGAAAGGAAAGGAAAGGAAAGGAAAGGAAAGGAAAGGAAACTTTAGTTAATTGGACCATATTGTATAAAGTTACATTTCTACATTTGAAAATATAGAGATTCTGAAATAAATTTCTCACTTTTATTTAATGTTTTGGAATTTCAACAACTATATTTCATATTTTAATAGTTATTTTATATTATGAAAACTATGACTAATTTTTGAATAGAGATAAAATATTTCAATTCCAATTAGAACTTTCCTATAGAAACTTTGTATAAAGATTTCTTGATAATACATTGGAGTCCAGTCCAATCCAGAAAGAAGACACAGCTGATTTATGTTGGGTTTAAAGGCTACTATTCTCCTTTACATAGTTATGTATTAAACAAACAAACAAAACAAGTTAATCAACTCCTGTTTCCCTCTAAGGCTTACGTCTACACTGTGGAGCCAGAGGTACCCCAAAATAACTATTTAGCATCATCTGATCACGCCCATAATTTCAATATATAACAGTCACACTATTCCAATAAAACATCACTTCACGAGAGATGAGATGTTTCGGAATAGTGCTTTACTTCAAAATTTTATGCTGTGTAGACAGCACCAAATTTGAAAATAAGCTATTTTGAAATTACCTCAGAATAAGCTACTCAATTTATATAGTGCAATTTGCGTGGCTTATTTCGAGGTTAGCTGTTTATAAGGGTTACATTATAAAAGAGAGAAGAGAAATCATTTCTTGGGTTAAATGGAGTATGTTTATATGCACCTTTAACACTATTTAGTTTCCATACAAGACTGTTTCTTTTACTTGTGAATGTATATCACTGGACTACAATGTAGGCTTAGTTGTTTGAGGCAGAACCTGAAGTCATACGTATTAAAATATCTGATAACCTTTTTTCCCTCAGGATGCTAAATAGGCTGTTGATTATCAAATGTTTTCTGTGGATAATCTGATTACTATTGTTGAATTTAATTAATGTTTGCTCTTTTTTAGATGTGCCATCTAGTCCCTATGGAGTAAGAATTATAGAGTTGTCACAGACTATTGCCAAAATCTCTTTCAATAAGCCGGATTCACATGGAGGTGTGCCCATTCATCATTACCAAGTGGATGTGAAAGAAGTAGCTTCAGAAACATGGAAAATAGTGCGCTCCCATGGAGTTCAAAGTGAGTCTGCAAAAATGGGATTTTTTTTTAAATTAAAAGAATATCAGGGAGTTATAATAACAAATTCTTGTTAACTGAGCCTGTCTCACTATCCTAGCAGTATTATTCTTTCAATGATATTCTCAGATACTGCGGCTAGCTCCATTGACTTAAGTGGAATCAAACCTATTTACACTGATAATTTGGCCTTTTATTGTCTTTTAAATGTCCATTGACATTATTTCTTGGTTTTTCAGAAGTCTGGTAAGCAAACTCAAAGTTATTCAGAAAGTAATTATGTAGATTTTTAATATACTACTTATGCAATATGAAGAATACAGTTTATAAATTGATCCACCGCAAAGAAGGAAAGTAGCAGAAGAGTCAAATTAAGAGTTTTGAGTATGCTTCGCTGTGCATTTAATTAAAAAGTACTAAGAGGACAGCAGTATCCTGATAATGAATTATTGATTTTAACTACTCTATAACATTCTACATACTTGTAAATCATTGTTACATGTGTTTAAAACTTATTTATAAAATATTAATATAGTATCAAGTATTTCTTTGTGCTAAAGTATATGTCTTATTTGAGATATTGCATGGTTGAGATACTTGACATATGGGCCAGAACATAACCGATCCTGTGGCCACTTCGCACTATTCTGAAGACAAAAAAAGTCTATAAACCTCATCTAAACAGAGGAGCCTGAGGAGTCCCCTGGCATGGGTGAATTAAGTACATGCCCAGAGTAAAAGAAGGGGTGTCTGCCAGAGGGTGATTCAATACACAATCGCTTCCAGGCACTGTCTTGCCCTTGTTGTTCTTAGATGGTATAAGTTAGAGCAGTGTCTCTTAAACTTTTTAAAACTGAGGAACACCAAACAACAATTTTTTTTATGCGGAACACCAATGATTTTTTGTTGAGCAAAAAAAAAAAAAGGCCGGGGGAAAGTTATTGAAGAAAAAAAAAAAGGTTGCCTACCTCTTTAAGGGTGGCCATTTTGAATTCTATTGCTCTCCACAGCGCCCTGGAACACAATTTAAGAAACACTGAGTTGGAGGATCTCCAAGAATCCTAATATACACAGTTTCTAAACTGGCTTCCATTGTCTACAAGATTAGAGGAACACAAATACTTAAAAAAAAAAAAAGAGTATTACTAAAAGAACACCTAGGCTGCGTCTACACTACATACTTCCTGCACAAAAAGCCTTTTGCGTAAGAGTTTTTGCACAAAAACTTCTTGCGCAAGAGCAGGTCCACACCTCAAAGCACATCGCAAAAGTGATGTGCTTTTGTACAAGAGAGCATCCACACTGCACAGACGCTCTTGCGCAAGAAAGCTCTGATGGCCATTCACAGAGTGGTCATCAGAGCACCTGTGCTTTTTTCCATGAGCAAGAAACCCCTATGCTTTTTCTTGTGCAAGAAACCCCTCTGGAGCGTCCACACTTACTTTTTTGCACAATAGCTACAGCGCAGAATGGAGTTATAGCTTGTAAAAGGAAGTTTACCTACACTGGAAAAAGCCCTCCCTTCTGCCCTTTTACTGTTGATTTACTTGTGCAAAAGCGCATTTGAGGTGTAGACGCTCCACGGGTTTTTGTGCAAAAACCTTGCAGCAAGGGTGTACAAAATCTTGCTCTACTATACAAAATCTAATTTTTCAACAGTGATCTTAAAAACAGGTGCAGTCTGCAAATGTTCACAGCTATCTAACACTTTGAATGGATCTTTAGTGGTTCCTAGACCCATGCTTGACTTTTTGTCACAGTTTGAACACTTCTCAGTATAGTCAATTGAGTCTGTTTAGGTATTGAAGGATTACTGTTAAAATAGTTCTTTTTTCCCCACCACTGCTGTTGGTCTCACTACTACCACAGAGTTATTTTCTTACATCAGTCCCTGACAAGGTCATTCAGTAAGTCAGTATGCACTAGGGAGTTATTTAAAAATAACTGCCCTTATTTTGAAATGAGTGGAGTTTCCACACTATCAAGCTTGTTATTTTGAAATAACGGGCTGATTATTTTGAAATCTGTACTCCTACTTTCCTTTGGTAATAATGCTTATTTCAAAATTGAAATAGGGATAGTGTGGATGTTCCACTGCTGCACTTTTGAAATAATTACTCCCCAGTGTTTCCTGGTGCTCTAAGTTGAGGTAGTGCATCCACAATTATGGAGCCTGCCTCGGGCTAATTTTGAGGCTCCCCTGTAGTGGGGACATGCTATTTTGGTTTTGTTATTTTGGGAGTTATTTCACATTTAGTTATTTTGAAATAATTTCCTAATGTACGCATGCCCTATGAGACCTAACATTAAACTACAGATCTCAAAGTAAGAGCTGACCTAAGCCTTCACTCAAAACGTGAACCAAATTGACAGTATTTTTTTTAAAGATTCAAATAGGTTATTCTAGATCTTCGTGTTTTTCACAAATATAAAACAGCATGAAATAAATTATAAATTGAAGTCAAATGAAGAAAAATCACTTTTTGTAGTGGCCAATTTCTAGCACAACCTGCTCTTGGATGATGCTGCCAGCAGCATGGGCCCAGCCTCTGTATAACTAGCCTCATGCTCTTCTACCTCACCACTGACAAAGAGAACAACCTAGATTGGAATGGCACCCTCATTCCAACTCTGAATGCTGGGCTGCAGTGCTACTTCCCCCAATTTGAGCTAGCAGTGGGAGTTCTCCTTGTCGGCATGGAGCAGATTCATATGGAGATAGCTGTATTTTGGCTGGTCTTCACCAATGACAATAGTGTCCAAGGGCTGGTGATGCTAAAATGACCTCCCTCTCCAGAACCTTGGCTGGGCTAAGGAAGAAGGGATGGGAGGAGCTGGAGCTACCACTGGGCAAGGGTACTTGATGCATGTACTCCTTCCTGCCTGATCCAGGCTGTCCTGGCAACTCCCAATCTGAAAACCCAGTGAGGAGAAGGGGAACAGGGCTGAATGTGGGCAGAAATTGGTTGGCAGGGGTGGATGAAATAATTTCTGTAAGGGCTTTTGACATATTTTATTAATGCAAAAGTAATACAAAATATAGCATTTTAATGGATATAATGAAATAACAGATTTTCTGAAAAATAAATAAAAAAAGTATATCCAGAGTTTGTTATTCCTCCCCCTTCAATTTTTCAAGATTTTGCTCTTCATAATTTTGAGTGGAAATACCCAATGCCTCCCATGAGGCATACCAGGGAGGTCGACAAATGCCTTTGATGTCGACCGCGGAGCATCCAGACTAGCATGCTGATCCAACAAACAGCTGATCGGCACAGTGTGGCAGCCATTTAAATTTAAATGAAGTGACGATTACTTAAATCGCCGTTTCATTTTCCTATTCCAGGTAGCCTAATCTACATGCCTCTGTTGTCAGAGGCATATAGTCTAGACATACCCTTAGATACATATTGTGTCAGAGCCAAAACCTTTGAGCTTCATTAGTCCAGTTTGGAGGCCAAAGTCTGAAATAATATTGCGAAAGATGTTTCTTCTGCTTTCATCTATTTAGTGTGATTGATAAAATGTATTTAATTCCTGTTTTCCACCTGTTCTTCATTCATAAGTTTAGCAGAGAAGAAAAAATAAAAGGGAGGGTCAACCTGTGGCTTTTGGTAGTAGTATGTTTTTTGTTTGTTTTCATTAGAACACTCTGAATTGCACGAATGGTTTGTGTAAGTTGGATAACATCTTGGCTATAGTGTATCTTACAGCAGCATAGGTGGTAATCGTAATATTTAGCCTCCAGAACTCAGAATTTTTGCAGGTCTAGGGAAAACAGGATATATTATGATAGTTCATTTCCTCTGGCAGGATGGCATGTACATGAATGGATGCTGGTCTTCCTACGCCTCTCGCTGTCCCATATTTCCTTTTGTTTTATAGCAAGAGTAATGCAATGAACTGAGGCTAGGAGTCTACATATAAAACATACTAAACATCCAGTGATGAAAAATATGAAGCTCGTGATTTTGTATAATGTAATCTGAACCTTAGACAATCCAGTTGGCATCTGGGTTAATTTAACTATGCTTAGTTTAACCTCAGAGATAGGATAGAGAAGATAATTAGCATTTAGTGTGTATCACAGTATGTTAAGCCAGCTCCATAGATGATTTCTTTTGAATATTTAATCCTGGCTTTTAATGTCGGGGATGAACTGATTACATAACAAAAGTAATTGCCTTGACCAATCCTGTTTTTAGTACATCCAAGAGTTATCTTCTTGCCTTGTTTTCCATCCTTTGATTTTGAAATTTTTTTGGCATGACACTGTAGCCAATTCATGTGTTTTGAGTTAGGAGAACCAGCCCTTATTAACTGCTAGGATTGCTTCAATATAATATCTGCTTAAAATGTGCATTATCTAATAATTGAAACTGAGAGTTTCCTGGTAAGCAGAGGTACTTACTGTCGGTGAGCAGCACCTCTGTTATACCATGAAATACCTTGCATATGCATTGATTCAATGTGGTACACAGCCCCTCAGAATGAATTACAGTATGGGACACTAAATCTCAACATGTCCTCTATTGTTTCTTTCTATCCCCCTTTTGCTCTGGGTTTTCTTTTTTTTATTCAGTTATTCATCCACAATAATGTCCTCTCTTTCCCCTAACCTAACCCTTGACTTTCTCTTGACTTTTTAAATTTGCACACCATTCTACTATACAAATGCTTTGTACTGCCATCTTCAGTGTCTCAGAGGTAAATAATATTTCTGACAACCTCTGCTGGCAGTAACAGTTAGAAGCATCCCTCTCCAAAACCTGAAGAATTATTTGTGAACTTCAGAGAAGCTCTGTGCTTTGTGTAAATAAATGAAAAATTGTATGTCTGATCATAAGAGGGAGAGCTGATAGTGCAGTTGATTCCCATAAAAACTCACCTTGTATTCATACACCTTGTATAATTGTTTCTGCTAGCATATCAAGTATTTTAATATATACTTTAATATATTTTATAGATACATTACAGTCCTTGAAACTTGTAAATGCAAGAAA